TTTAACACCTATCCTCCTTTTGCTTGTCGCACTGAGGAACCTATTTACCACAATGATTGTGTGTGTGTTCCTGAGCCTCCCATGGACAAAGAACAACACATGCTCAGGTATCCAGACGCATTGATCCCCATACTCTCTTGTAGGCACCATTCAGGCCTTCATGGGTCCTCTCCCAGGATTAACAAGAAACACATGACTATGAAGCACATTTTCCCCACCTATTTAGTATGGGAACCTCTGGTATTCTTGGACGACCCCATTGACTTTAGTTTTCTGAAGAGCATGATTTTTCGTTATGAGCCTCTTGTCGACGTTGTAGATGATGCATACATCAAGTGGTTGGACAGGGTGGAGCGTAAGAAGAAGTTTGTATGGCAGGATCAAGACATCTATAACCTTATACAACTTTCAAGGGTAGGCCCAAATTATAATCCCTCCATGATCCTTGCTGCTTTATGATTTTGGGAATTTATCACCAACACTTTTTAACTTTCCTGTGGCATGGTGACTCCCACCCTTTTTGATATTGATCTGATTGTTGTTCTTAGACCAACCGGTGAGGACTTCGAACCCTTATTGATTAGCAAAACAAAACCACATTTTGAGTTCAAGAAAAATGATTACAACACCTTCATTGAAGAACACCACGGTTCAAAGGAAATTGTCGACGACCACGAGCATATAGCTTTCTTGACTTTTTTGGTTGTCACGTTTTGTCTTATGCTGTCTTATGCGCTCGAAGGGTTCAAGTAGCCAAAGTGCTCGTGGCTTTAGTCGCTCATCTTCATGAAAGAAAGAATATTTGACTGAACAAGCTTATTAGTTGTGGTCTTTGTGAGTAACTGGGGCTAGCATCTGGTGACCTCACATGTCAAATAAATCCTAAGAGCCTTCATATAGGAGGGCCCTTCTGGCTGTTGCAATTATGGTTGAATTCCACCTTCGAACCTAACCTAAAAACTTAAATCCCATCTAACACATGAGATGGTGTTGAATGATTCAAGCTTGCTCGATTGACTCGTGATGATGGAAAAACTCTGTCGAGGGAGTCCTTTGAGAAGTATTTTTATATGTTCTACAAATGCTAAGAGCTTTTTTTGAATATAACATCATTCACTAGTCGACAATGTAGTCCTGTTTGGTTCAAAGAAATTTTCCCTCATCCTACTCAAAGTGGAGAAAGGTAAATCCATGGTATCCTACTAGAATGTTTCCATCCTGCTCCTTTATGGACAAAACTCTGCATAGTCAGATGCGGGGTAAGGCTAGCTGCTTACCAAACCTAGTGGCTAGGAAATTTAGGTTGAGCCAAATTCTCCCCTAAGTCTTTAATTCCAGAGGAACAATCCATGTATATTTCCATCGATGACCTAGGCATACTATGCCTTTAAACATGTAGATATTTTTACAAAAATAAACCATTTACCTTGTTCTATTTTAATTATACACTATCCTACCATTGTACCAAATAATTTGATGTATGGTGGGAGCTCTATTACAAAGGCGTGATGCATCCCCATCTGATAGCGGAACCGTCTAGAAGACGCCTTTTCCTCTCTGCAAGACTTAGGTGACAAAGGTAAGTCTTGTTGATCACCCTTTTGGTTTCAATCAATCTCATCAACTCATATTCTTAACCTACCCTTGTTTACCTATTTTAGGTAACTTCGAGGATCCAAAATTAAAGAGCGTTTTCCAAGAAATGGCTAGCACGAGGGGGCTCAGAACCTACCCATAAAAACAACCTACGAATAAAAAGCACTAATCTTGTCGTCTCTTTACATTATTTTTCTTCCTTTCGAACCTCAATTCTCATGTTTGTTTCTCAAGACCAAAGAAAAGGTAACAACCCTTATGTCGTCTGTCCATCCAAAAAGAAAGACGATAAGCAAAAGGATGATGAATCCTCGATTAATGAAGAAAATATTGTATGTAACATTCTCTAATTTCTAATCTTTTGGACCTCAATGTTTTATTGATTTTCTTTGAAACATGTTAGTCTCTGCAGAAAGAAGCAGAGTTTGATAGTGTCAAAGAACTCTTGGATTCTTCTCCCACTCCTTCACATTGTGCGACTACTACAACTTTTAATCCTTCTGCCCTTGAGCAAGAACGAACCAGAAATGTTCCAGGTTCTCCCTCTGGTTCTAAAAACAAAAAGCACAAGAAAAGGGATATACAGGAACCTGGTGTAGTTCAGAGTGCAGAGGGGGTTGCTGAGGACGAATCTTCTAGTTTGAAGGAAAAGAAAAAGAAAAATAGAAAAATGCATCAACCGACTGTTCCAGACCAAGAAGAAACGCCTTCAAACCCTCAATCAGAGACTAGTGAGGTAATGTCAAACTTTATTTTACCTTTCCCTCGATTTCATCAGATTTTGGCATTTGATGTTGATAAATTCTTCTCACTTGGGTAGGCTATCCATGTCAATCCTGCCAATTCTCAGGCGCAAGCAAATAACATCGATTTTCATGTGGCCACCTCTCACATCCATTATACTCTAACTGGGACAAGCTCACAGTTTGTCCACCCCTCTTCTACAGGTGCTATTGCATATAATGTTGAGACTCAGGTTCAAGAATCGGTACCTGAAAAGCAACTGAAAGTTTTACCAGAACCAAACTCATTGTAGATTAAGAATCCTGAAAATTTAACACCCTCAACCCCAGCGCGTGGTGATCTTGTTCAGGAGAAACAAAAAGAGACCTTAGGCTGAAACTAGGTCTCCCATTCAAGATATTTGGTAGGAGCACGGACACTCGTCTTCTACCCTTTGTTTGTCCCAGGGGGCATCGTCGGTGTTCATCAGGGTAGCCTTGATTTTGCTACATGTTAGTTGCCAAGTGTTGCATGCCTTTTTATGAAGAGAACAAGAAAAAGGAGAGTTTTATTTCAATGAAGCGACATGTGTTCTTTGGGACTTTCCTGCTTTATGATTTTCCGTTCGGCGTAATGGGTGTTGTTTTCAACCATTTTTGGTTGCTATGTTTGCTCGTTGTATTTAGGTCCGATGCGGTAGCGTATTTATCTGTGTGCTGCATTTAGTGAGGCTTGGGACCGGTATAACCGTCGTGATATGGTCGTATCTTTGTATTGCACTTCTTATCATAGAGGATCAATCATCGGCCAAGAGTAGGATCCTCGTCCCTTTTTTTGAGACTTGGCTCAGATCGAGGTGAACGTCTCTAGACACTACCGTTTAGCGTCTTTGGATTAGCTAGATCTGAAAGACAAGTACGTCGGGGATGCATAAATACGTGTAATCTTTGTCTACGCATAAATGCGTGTATTTTTTGTCTTGTCTACACAGAAATGTATGTATTCTTTCTGTGTATTCTTTGTTAAGATATGTCCTTGTCCTCAAATTTATTTGAATTTATAATAAGGAGACCAATTTCGTGAATTAGATAAAATAGAGAAGGTAAAAAATAATTAAACTTAATATGTATATTAAGTGTAATATAAATTAGAGAGAAATAATTTTTAAAAATTTCTTAAAAGAAAATAGTATAAGACATTTAAAGGTTAGTGATAACTAACGACGGCTAAGCCATCTGTAATTTAAAATTTATCGATGACTATGAGTTGAGGATAACATGTTAAAAGACGGATGGAGAAGCTGAGTATATGTCTAAGGTTCCTTGAGATAGTGTTGTTGGTTGTTTAATGTATGTTATGGAAATCAAATTTGGCATAAGTTGTAAATCAATTTTGTAAGTTTATGTTTAAAACAAGCAAGAGTCATTAGGAAGCAGTCAAGTGGATTTCCATGTACTTGAAGGGTACAACGGATCATGGTATCTGATTCTTCAGTTGTAGGATGTGTTGATTAAGAATATGGAAATATGGATGATAGAAGGTCTACAACCGGATATGTCTTTACTTTGACAAGAGGACCTATTAGTTGGAAATCATCGGTTCAATTCACAATGGTCATGTCGACAATTGAAGTAGAGTACATGTTAGCTGTTGAAGTTGCCAAAGAAGCCTTATGGCTTACGCGTTTGGTGAGATAATTGTGTGTTGAGTAAGGTGGAGTTCAGTTGCTCCACCTTGCTCAACACACGATTCTCTCATGTGTATAATGACTGTACCAAACATATTGATGTGAGGTTTCACAAGATCAAAGATTTACTTGTATTTGGATAGATATTATTTTAAAATGTTCATACTTCATATAGTACAGTTGATATGTTGATCAAGTCAATCATCGGTGAAAAGTTCAAACATTACTTAGACTTGTTACAGTTTCACAGTGTTAAGACCGATGTGTACTTCCCAAACTATCAGGATGTGATAATCATGTATGAGGCTTTTATAGGGGTTTGATATTCGCCAAAGTGAAAATTGTTGTGTATGACTCATATAAAGACAGAGAAACACAATAAGAACATGAGAATTTAACGTGAACACTCTAAAATATGTCTTAGGTTCAACTATTTATTGTGGGGAGGCGATTGGGAGGTGTGGGGCGGTAACCTCTCGAGATATAAATATTATTATAAAATAAATTATAGTATTATATATATGTTTTTTGTTTGTAATACTAACCTTAGTTTATCACCGAAATAAAAAAGAATTATAGTTGCTATATAATACAGTATTGACCAAATTGCAGTAATAAAGATTGATGGTATGTATTATCTTTTACTTTTGTTTTCTTTAATATTTTATACTGGGTCGTGTTGTAATAGTTTGAATACATATAATACATCAATAATTTGATGTAGTTGATCTATTTGAGACAGTTTTATTCAGATTCAATCATTATTTTATATGGTCAAGGGTAGAGTTTATGTCTAAAAACTTGATCTACTTAAAATATAGAAGATGTCAAATGACAAGTTGCAAACTTGCCACGCCTGGATTTAGCCAATCTCTACATAAAACTCTAAAATAATCTATTTGGTAAATGATGCTAAAATGGAAGACTTGCTATTCCAAGTCTCCTCAAACAAATTAATCATCAACATATTATACGCTAAAAGAGTTTTATCACCATGGCAATGGCTTCTACATTATATTTCTTTGCAATATTATTATTCTACTACCTCAATTTGTTTTCCGTGAATGCAAATTCCTACAGAGAATTCCTGCAAATGGGGCAATCAGTCAGAACTTCAGACACAGTTGTTTCATACGGTGGAAACTATAAACTTGGATTTTTCACAAGAGATAGAGATAACTCCACCAAGTACTATGTAGGTATATGGTTCAAAAAGGTACCAAATGACAAGGTTGTTTGGGTTGCCAACAGAGATTACGCATTCCAGACATCTTCGGCGTTTCTTACTATTCAACCTGATGGTAACATTGCGATCAGAGATGGACAAATGATGTACCTCGTGACTAATGTTCCGAACAGCAGTTATAGTACCTATGCAACGCTGTTGGACTCGGGAAACTTAGTACTTTTGAACAACTCTAACAAAAGGATTCTATGGCAGAGTTTTAATAATCCAACTGATACTCTTTTACCTGGAATGACAATCGGACACACCGACACAGGATACAATTTGTCATTAACATCATGGACAAGTGCAGACGATCCTGCTACCGGACCATATACTCTCCAATTTAATTTCGGCTCAGTGAGTCTAACTGTAAATAAAGGTTCTAATGTCTTGTGGATTGATGGTAATTCCAATTTATCTATTCAGACTGTTTTCAACCGAGCGGTTTTGGAACAGAATATCTACAAGGACTATTTCAGTCTTCCAATATATAGCAATTCTAGATTTGTATTGGATGTGTCTGGGGATCTTAAATACGAAGGTTGGTCTGAGAAATCCAAGCGTTGGCTTTCTATACAATCGTCCAAGTGCGGAACAAACAATTCGTGCGGAGTATTTTCCATTTGTAATCCACGAGACCATGATCCTTGTCAGTGTCTAGAAGGTTTTGAACCGTTTGATACTGATTCTTGGGGGAAGGGGGACAGATCAGCTGGATGTGTCAGGCTAAAGAACTTGTCCTGCAACACTACAGATGGATTTGTTCGATTCTTTTCAGTCGAATTGCCTCCAAATCATGCCAACCTGATGCTGAATTCTCAAGCACAATGTAACCACACTTGCTCCACCAATTGTTCTTGTCTTGCTTTTGCTTATGATTTGTTTGCTGTTAACTGCATGTTGTGGAACGAAGAAGTACTGACTCTGAAGAACATCTCAACTGATAATCAAGATGCTGATAAAAATAAACCAATTTATTTTCTCAAAGTTGCTGCCTCAGACATTCTTACCACAAGCAATGTAACAAATGCAGCTAACAGACATGGAAACAGGAAGAGGAATCTAATTCTAATTGTTATTTTGACCTCATTTCTAATATTGCTTATACTGCTTGGCTTATTTGTTTACCGAACAAGAAAGCAAAGTAAGAAAGGTAAGAACCAATCTAGTTAACATTAATACTATCCCTTAAATATTTTAGTTTTCTAACTCATGACATCAACTATGACTGTCCTCAATTTCTAGGGGATGATTTGCTAAATTTTGAAGTAGGCATGAGCATGAAAGTTAATAAAGACTCTGACAAGGGTACAAAAGTTAAAAGGAAAGAAGTCAAGTTACCACTGTTCAGTTTTGTGAGCGTTTCAGCCGCAACTAATAACTTTGCAGACACAAATAAACTCGGTGAAGGTGGCTTTGGACCTGTTTATAAGGTATGTTCTAAATTTCTTTAGCAGTATTGTAAAAACTTGCACTCTCTTGGAATGTTATTGATATAGCTTTGTTGAATGAACAACTTTTCCTTTCTAGGGTAAGTTATTGAATGGGGATGAGGTAGCTGTAAAAAGGCTATCTAAAAGATCAGGTCAAGGATGGGAGGAGTTGCGAAATGAAGCCTTGTTGATTGCAAAACTCCAACACAATAATCTAGTTAGACTTCTTGGCTGCTGCATTGAGAGAGATGAGAAAATGCTTATTTATGAATTCATGGCTAATACAAGTTTGGATTGTTTTCTCTTTGGTCTGTACTTTTCAGACACAAAATTTTCTCCTAAGTATGCTCCATTCTGTTTCATCCAAACTCTAGTTGTAACATCTTTTTATGTAAAACAGATGCGGAAAAAAGAGAGATGCTAGATTGGGGAACACGGGTTCGAATAATTGAAGGGATTGCACAAGGACTCCTTTATCTGCATCAATATTCTAGGTTCAGAATCATTCACCGAGATTTAAAAGCTAGCAACATTCTATTAGACACCAACATGAATCCTAAAATATCGGATTTTGGAATGGCGAGGATATTTAGTGAGAATGTTCTTCAAGCAAATACAAATCGGATAGTTGGAACTTAGTAAGTAAGATAAATTAATATTGTTTTCTTTAAAGTTTTAAACAACTAAGAACTCTTTATTGATGGGTTTTTAGTGGATATATGTCTCCTGAATATGCGATGGAAGGCGTTTTCTCGATTAAGTCAGACGTGTTTAGCTTTGGAGTCCTTTTGTTAGAGATTATAAGTGGCAAGAAGAATACTGGTTTTTATCAAACAAATTCCTTCGATCTTCTTGGATATGTAAGTTCTGAAATTCAACTCAACAGATCTTTTTTGTCACAAATTCTATATATTGTTATAAGTATGAGTTATTTACTTGCTGAATATTCAAGGCTTGGGATCTATGGACCAACAATTCTGGAGTGGACTTGATTGATTCAAAATTGGATGATATCTCCAACAAACATTTAGTGACAAAATACGTGAATATAGGACTTCTATGTGTACAACAAAGTCCAGAAGATAGGCCAACCATGTCTGATGTTGTCTCAATGATTGGCAATGACACTGCATCCCTTCCTAGTCCAAAGCCACCAGCATTTCAAAATGTGAGAGGTACTGAAAGTTCAAGTCTCTCTGGAAGCACTAGAGAAAACATTTCTGTCAATGTTGTCACAAATTCAATAGTTGAAGCAAGATGAGTTTTAGTGTGACAGTTGAAAAGTTGCTTGTTTGGGTAACATTGAAATACTTGTTAAATCAATGCTACTATTTTGTTTTCTTTACTTTTTCTATGCCAATGTTGTTTTAGTAAAATTGTTGAATTGAGTTAACTAAAAATCATTTCATTCCAATGGTTAGATGTATGGATTGAACGTGTGGTATAGGAATTTGGGCCTTCCCCTAACTTTTTCGACTAACTAATCACAAATTCAGTTGTAAGTAAGAGTTTTAATCTGATACTCGTATTTGTTTATATAATATATTTATTTTAAATAAAAAATTAAAAAGGGAAAAAAATTAGATAAATAATATATTTTTTTTATATATAAAAATATTTAGATAAATAAGTTTTTTTTCCCTGTAGACCATTTTTGAATCATAAAAACTCTTTTTCTTATATAAAAATATTTAGATTAATAATAGATTTTTTTTCTCATATACAAATATTATTTTTGTTTAGGTATCGTTTAAAAAATATATGGATCAATAATAAAATTTCGTATATAAAAATATTTAGATCAATAATTAATTTTTTCCGTATATTATTTTTGAATCAAAAATATTTAGATTATAAATATCATTTTTCGCATATAAAAATATTTAGATTAATAATGGATTTTTCCCGCATATAAATATTATTATTATTTAGGTATCGTGTACAAAAATATCTGGATCAATAGTAAATTTTCGTATATAAAAAATATTTAGATCATAAATATCATTTTTCGCATATAAAAATATTCAAATCAATAATAGATTTTTTTCGCATACAAATATTATTTTTATTTAGACATCGTTTATAAAAATATATGGATCAATAGTAAATTCTCTTATATAAAAAAATACTTAGATCAATAATATATTTTTTCCCGTATAGCATTTTTGAATCAAAAATATTTGAATCATAAATACCTTTTTTCGAATATAAAAATATTTAAATCAATAATAGATTTTATTCCGTATACAAATATTATTCAATAATTGTCATTTAGAAAAATATTTATAACATCAATACACTTTTTCCAATTATAAAAATATTTGTATTAATAGTAGACTTTTCCAATTTATAAAAATATTTGTATTAACAATACACTTTTTCCCATTTATAAATATATTTGTATCAATTATATAATTTTTTACGTTTAAAAATATATTTATATCAAATTATTGAGAATGCAGATCCCGTATATAAATATTATTTTTGTTCTGACATTATTCATAAAAATATATGAATCAATAATAAAGTTGTTTTCGTATATAATAATATTTGAATAAACAATATATTTTTGTCCGTATATAAAAATTGTTTTTATTTTGACAATATTATTAAAAATTAAATCAAAATAAATAATTTTATTAAAATTTGAATTATACTTAAGAAATAATAGAGAAACCTCAAGAAACTAAACCTCAAGAATGATATATATTTGTATAAACTTTTGAAATATTTTTTTAAACATTATCATTAAGAATGATATATATTTGTGTTTTTTTTCTACCATATCAGTACAAACTAAACCTCAAGAAACTGTCTGAGACTGTCTTTGCTTTGATGACTTTGGTTGCAAAATGCCATGCTTCACAGATTGTTCTGACAAAGTGGTAAATTTGAATGGATGCATCAATGCTTGTTTCACATTTCGCTCTCTTCATTTCTAATAGTTTTCCCACAAATTTGTTTTCTTTTAAAGATGAGAAACAATAGTGCATTGTAGCGTTATCTGAAGTTCAATTTTGATTTCACTAATGTAATTGATAGCAAGTTTATAGAGTATTGAAAGAGTTCATATAGAGTGACGCTCCTCACCTAAACTCTAAGAGCGGGAGAGGTTGAGAATCTTTTAGATTATGTTTCTTAAGAGAGAGAGAGAGAGAAATAGGACTTTTGAGGGTTTTGTTTTTTAATCTCTATTCTTATTTTTAGAGAGAATCAAATGATTATAAAATTATTTAAATTAGAGTTCCAAAATTTCTACCCAATTAATAATATAAAATTAGAGTTTCAAAATTTCCAATAACATATAGAAAGTTATACTTTCGACTTTAAAACAACGATATTCAATCACTTATAGTTCAGATACATAACACATAAAATTCGGATGAACCGATAACAACCTGTTTAGTCTTTAAAAATAAAACAACTTTCATTACTACACAGCGGATTCACAAAATTCAACTGAAAACAACTTTAAGACAACAAGTCTTTAATAAAAACAACTTAAAAACTCAGCAACATGATGAAAACTGATCTAACCTGATCAGACTTGGACCGTCACGGCTGGCTCCGAGCTGAAGTTTTGAACGAGGTGGGGGGGGGGGGGGGGTACCTGCAAGGCACTCCGATGCTGAAGTAAGTAAGAGTACGAGCAGGCAAAGTGTGAGTATATGTGATAGAATGAATACCTGACCCTCTGGGAACAGAGGGTATTTATAGCCCCCAGCGCTGGGTCAAGGTTCCTTCATTGGGCCGGGCAGGTTTGGCTCAATGGAGGAACTGTCAGGTTCTACGTGCGTAGTGGGGAACCACACGTGGTCCCCTTCCTGGATGTCCTGCGTGAAGTGCGGGCGGACAAGGACGCGGTCTTTTCGGAGTCCTGTTGAGAGTGTAGTGGGCCGTGTCTGCCGTTGGTGGAGTGCTCGAGCAGAGGTCGAGCTGGATAACACGAGGTCGAGGATGTCGCCCCAGTGAAGTATGCCGGGTGTTGTACCCCAAAATTTGCCCTCGCATTTTTCCCCAAGAAATCTCAGCTTCAAACATTTCCTGACTTTTCAAATTGGCTCAAGAATCGGACAAACGGACTTTTCTTGACAGTCAAGCAGAATTAGGGTTTTTTACTGATTTTCAGAGCTCTGAATTGTTTCATACAGTGGGCTTAGGGTTTGGTTGATTTTTGGTTCAATTTTGATCAAGCGAGCGTGATTTGGCATTTAATCGGGAATTAAGGTTTTATGGGCATTTTCTCAGAAGGATTTGAATTCCACAGCACTTTGCGGTTTATTTCAAGATTCGGATTAAAATTCGCGTTATCTTGGTTTAATCAGCAAAAGAGACAGTGGCGTAAATTCATTTTGTTTGGGCCAGTCAAAGAAGGGTTGCAGTTGGATTTACAGTACTTGCAAAGAATCAGTGTTTATGACAAATCAGTAAGAGGAGGCGATTGGTTTGAATTCATCAGTCAAAAGATATATGCAGTGTTGGATTCACAGTGCTTATGCGTTTGATCAGTCTTTTTGGATCGACTGCTGCTTTGCTCTGGTTGTTGAATAAGACAGACTTTAATTGATCAATGTTGTTTTATTTTAGTTATTTATTATTCTGAAATTGAATGATTGAATTTATTTTTCAATTGTTCTAATTCTAAGAATTTTAAATAAATAAATAAACAATAAAGAAATTAGAATTAATGGGATAATTTAAACTTTTATTGATATTTGAATTATTTGTACAAATTGTTGTTACAGACAATAATTTACATTTAATTTAAATATTACATAGAATGAAAAAAAAACTATCCTATTTTCTAATATTCTTCGTTCTTCATTCCGCTCCGGTATTCCATTTTTCATCTGCAAAAAAAAACAAGAAAAGTCAGAAAGCATTAAATTGGAAAGGACAGATAAAAAGTGCTCATCATTAGGGGCCACTGACTGGGATCAGTTGACCCTCTCTGCAAATCACGGGATTTCTCCCGGTTCACAGAGAGGGAAGATTATTTTATTTCATGAAATGCAAATGCATAAGTTACAAATTTCAAGCTGCATAGAAATTCAAGATTCAAAATCCAAGCTAAACTGAAAAAGTTCAATCCAAACTTTCCATCCAAAGCAAAGGCACTACTGTCAGTTTACTCAAAGAAAGAAATCAAAATAGTACAAGTTGCTATCAAAGCTCAAAAGCTGTCATGAAAAGATTTTTGCCAAGATATCAAAATGCAAAGTCAGAGCCAAGCACAAAAGCTGGAGATAAAGATGCAGTAGTGTATTATGCAAGTGATCTTTTCATCATTTCCCATCAGCATAGTAGGCCCCTTCAGAAAAGTACAAATAAAAATCATATAAAAATCTTAAACTGTACTTTAAGAGAGAGTAAAGGGAGATAAAGACAGTTCAGCAGCAGGGGTTTAGGCACAGTTCAATAGCAGTTCACAGCAGACAGTAGGAAGGAGAGAAGAAAGAAAGATATAACACAAGCCAATGAAACAGTTCAATGGCAGTTCAGAAGTGAAGAGAGCATAATAAGAAAAATCTACAAGACAGTTCAGTAGCAGCAGGGCAGAAGGCAGCTAGCCAGTACAAAGCAAGCATAGGCAAGGTTAGGCATAGTTCAGGGAGCAAAATAGCAAAAGATATAAAAAATCCAAAACTCAGTAGCAGGCAGTTGATAGGATATAGAAAAGAGATAATAAAAAAAAACTCAGTTCAGAAAGGTGAAGAGAGAAGACATATATACAACTCAGTAGCTGCACAAAACTCGATCTAACCAATATCAAAAACCTGAACCTTGTCCAAAATCACCATAACCTGCATCACTCTCACAAAGCCAAGAACCAGCCTGCTGTCCACAAACTTCATCCACTCTGCATCAGTTTCAGAAAACAAAAGCCAATACAAACTCAGTTCAGCATAGAATAGGCAGAAGAGAGTAAAAAGACTAAAACACCAACCCTGTCTCAATACACCAAAAGAGACAAAAACCTACTGTCATCAAACTTCCTGAACTCTGCCTTAATATAGGCAAAAACACACCAACTCTGCATAATATACAAAAGGGCCAAGCCAATAAAACAGTTCAGAAGAGTTTTAGGATAGAAAAGAAAGATACAATACCACAGTCCTGCCTCATCAGAACCAAACTCAAACCACTACTGTCATAACCAAACCCATCAAGCTGAAGCAAAAAAGACCAACATGATACATCTCAAAATCATAACCTGAAACACATAAACAAAACTGCCTAACCTCTCAAGCATGTCAAAAC